ATGATCAGGGAGTTGTTAATTTTCTGCTTCACCGAGGCCAACCTTTAGCTTTCCTCTATTCTCACACTTCCCTTAAGGCTAAAGAAGATAACTAGTAGATAGATACCCAAACAGATGTGCCCCCGAACTTACAGCTAAAGAAAAGACATTAACAGGTTTCATTTTGAAACACTGACAGACATCAGTGAGCAAAAGGGATGAAAGAATTTGAACTATCAATTTCTAGCCCTAGCATCATCATATTTCAAAGAATCAAGATTTAAATAAATTATATGTAGATCGTGTGCATAATGTAAATAGAATGTAACAGAAATCTAAGAAGTTCCTGAAATCTTTTCATTACTTAATTATACACCAGCTTCTTGAAACATACTACATCCAGGAGCAGAGACTGGGGGCAGTTAGAGTCTCATTTCCCACACTGAAAAGGGATAATTTATGTCAGCTGATTACACAGAAGTAAATTATCACTGAAGGGAGAATGTTTTTAATTTACATGTCATCACAAACATAATCTTATTATTACTAATAAAGGACTTTTAGCATTCTAGAGTTTAAGAAAAAACCTGTAACTATACAGACAGAAAAAGCAGGCCTGAATTTATCCACTGTCTCATGTAGACAGTTTTAGTTGAGTTCATCCTTGTTTATTAACTACCACAGACAGAATAGTTTTGAACAGGTTCTTACCTCACTGATATTTGAATCAGTTATTTGTCCTTGCCTACTCATTAATTTAATCAGTTTATCCTTTATGTTGGGTGGTAATGACTTCATATCTGCAGTGTATCTGGAAAGGTTCTTTGTCAGACATTGAAGGCATCTGAAATACAGGAAAGTTACAGTGTAGTCAAAAAAAGGTAATAAATATTAGAACTAGAATAATCAAGCTGTAAGATACCATCTTCTGCATCCAACTATGCTGCCTTCAAACCTTATCAGTTCCAGCTGTTCCATGCTACCACCAATTCAGTTATGGCCCTCTGGGTCAATCAGCTGATCCTTCTGTGCAAGTGTTCCCAAACCAACTGTAAGCAAAAACTTCAGCCACATTCACTGCAACCACCAACGCAGCTCACAAAACGAGTTTGCTGGTACTACATTTGCCAGCCCTAAGAAAAGCCCGTTCACCAGCTGAGCCTCCACTTGGTAAGCAGCAAAATCTCCAGTTGAGACATCTAGTTCCAGAGAAGGGACACCTCTCTTTCACCTCAGTTAAAACATTAAGGAGGTCTTTTCAGATGTAGTTATTTTGTTCACTGTCCAGTTTGTAGTAAGTTTGCAGTACTCTTTTAATATGACTTGTGCTGTGTAACCCTGTGCTCAATCCTCTTGACCTTATGCTTAAAACTAGATCTGATCACAAAGAAGCTTCACATGAGGCAAAAATTTTTCTGTCTCAGTAGTGTCCCAGGAATCACTGATCAACAAGCCTGTGATCCTACAAAATAGATCAGGTAAATAAAATAACTAGTGGACATACAGAAAATATAATATATAGGGGAAAGTGAATCCACTTGGACTTTGACAAGGCATTCAAAAAGCCTCATCAACAATGGTTCTTCAGGAAATTAAGCTGCCCTGGAATGAGAAGGAAGGTTCTCACACAGTTGGTTGAAACTACTATCACAATCAAACATCAACTGGTTTGATGCAGTATACCCATTCTGGTTTTTTTTGGTTGTGAGCTCATGTCTGGCCATTAACAAGTCAGCTTAACACATCTGCCAGGGCTCTGAGAGATTTGTAACAGCAGCCTCCTAGAAGTATGACAGCTAAAGCTGTTATCTGCCCCAGCTGCCTTCTCCACCTCTCCAGCAAGCTGCTGGCACCTGCTCTATTTGGCCAGCCCTCAACTCCTACACTGTCAGTTTTCAACCAAGTATAATTATGTAAACCAACTACAAATTTGGCATTCCTCAGCTGCATCAGCTAGGACTGCGTGTCTAAGCTGGTCATTTCTCATCTTTGGAACAGCAACTTCAGGAAACAGAAGCTAATATAAGATCTAACTTGAGGGGAAGAAAAAAAAAAAAAAAAAAAGAATGTTTGTAAATATTTTCAATATGATGCTCTTGTGCACGTGACCTTTGGAGTGCAAATTTCTCTTTTGGGGCAGGGGCCAAAGGCCAACAAGCAGCAGGAACATCTTAATAAATACACTTTCTGTTAGGTTTGGAGATCTTATAAATAATAACCTTATTAAAAGAACTACTCCACAAACTAATAGATAAGTTTCAGTTTTTAGTTTCTGCTTGTTAAACAATAACCCTAAAGGTCAGCATAAGTAAGAAGCTGAAAGTGCAGCCTGGCATAAATATATGGCCACCACCTGAATGGCGTAAGACAGGAAACAATACATTAAAATCATACATATTTGTTAAAAAGTTGTGTAATTATTTGTTTCAAGTATTAGTCCTACTTGTTATATTAATATAGAAATTTGCTGCAGTAGCAATAAAGTAGTATAAAAAAAGATTAGCAACCAATCAAAAGTATAAATTGTTTATGGTATCAAATCCTACAGTACATGTAAAGAGAAATTACTAGGTCCAAGATCTAAGGTTAATCAGGAGGACATAAGCATGTAGTGTAGTGCACGTCTTCAACATCATCTTAACAGATTCATCAGGCACAACAAAAAAAGTATGACCACTGTTTTAGCTTTGCAAAAAGAGAAAAGTTCTTAGCATGACAGGACACTTTCGAGTAATTAATTTCTAGTAGCAGTTCAGCTGTCGAGACACACCACTCTAACCAATGCAAAGGCCAAACAGAGGTTGAAAAGGCTAGTTCCACTTCCCTGGTTTCCCTAACCACGTTCTACTGCATCTTCCTCATGCTGGCTCTGAAATTCACAGTTGCACAGTGAGCTGTTTGGCATCTGATCTGAGTCAAAATTTCCTTGATTAAAACTGTTGGGGTCACAGAAATAATACTGCCAAAACAAGCAGCTCAGGGCAGGGAGCAGCAGCAGCCTAGAGTTGAACCAAATTAGATTTAGTGTATAGCCACAACTCTAAAGTCCCTATAGAAAACTTTTTTGCAACAGAAACTTGTCTGGCACCAGAATGCCACCAAATCACAGCTAATTAAACTCATATCAATTTAAAACACTACAGTTAAAACATTAAGGCTCTATAATCTGAAGTGTAGTGCAGATTTAAGCAAGGAAAGAAGTAAGATTTCCAGAAGCACATTTTAAAAAGGCACTGAAGTTAGCACAGTGTAATAAGGGCACCTGTAACAGGTCACTGCAGAGGACACCGTAATGAGGAGACAGCAATTTCAAGCAGAATCCAGGCAGAGTTTAACCACAGGCCTTGGTTGCAAAGACCTGTATGTCAGCATGAGTGACCATTACACAACCTGAGCACACAACGTGATCACCTTTAACTCGTCCCTCTGGAGATGCACAAGAATGCAATGTTTTCACCATACCTTGGTGACTGCTGGATGAACGTGGCTGACTGACTGTAACAGAGAAGCCTGTACAAGGCTCCGACTCAGTACATGTACAAGCAGATTACACCATCCGCATTCTCTGTCTTGTCTTGAGATTAAACAGCACCTCTACATGTAACATTCCTTCACCTGACTGCAGAAATGAAGAATAGTTGTTTACTTCTAAATGAACCTTATCAAAGCTCCAAAGACCTCGGTAGTGTGAACCTCGGGATCTGTGCAGCATGCTGGCCAACGTGAAGGGGCTTGCCTCATGCTGCAGCAGCCACGGTCCTCAGCATCAGGAGGGACACAAGACTGCTGCCACATTTTCTACTACTACTGGTCTTTATGTAATAAAACCGTTTGTTAACCTTGAGAGCCCACGCCTTTCTTACAGAGATTCCAAATGAACCAGCACCTCCTCGGTGCAAAACAGCATCCTGCCTTTGTCTAGGGTGTGTCACACAGACTTTCTGAGCCTTTTGAGGAGCTATGTGGGCACCTAGTATGTGACTGTTCCCTCTTCTATGCTGGATGCCTACTGAGCCATGTGAATGGGCAAGTAGTCCCTCCTCATACAAGGGCACACACTTCAGTTCCGTGAAAAATACATATTTATCACACGACACCTACATTTTGGCCACTGGGTAAACAAACTTTTCTGGCAGTACATCCTGAAGGAGGCAGATTGTCACCACATGCTGCAGTACATAATACAAACTTAAGATTATTTTTTTTCTCTTGAAGATCCTAAGTGTTTGAATAGGGACCTGCAAATCTAGACCAACTACTTAATTCAGATTTGCAGAAAATACTCCAAAATCAATGCAGAAACATGGAAATCAATGTGAGCTATGCCAAATCTTCTAGTTATATTTAACTATATCTTGCCATAGAATTTTAAATTTAGCTTGAGAGAAAAGCTTATTAAGATTAATTGCACTCCTTTCGAAAAGCTGCTTGATATTCTCCAAGTACATTACTGATCTGCAGTTTAACAATTAATCATTTAAATTATAAATATTTTCACTGTTATTGTACTTTATATGAAACAATAAAACACGTACAGGCTACACAAAGGGAATTATAATCTTCTCTTCAGTGCTTTAAAAGAAGAATAAAAGTCTAAGACTAATTGTATTGTTTGCTAGCTATTTTTCTTTCATCCATCAAATCAAATATTTTACCCCTAAGCAGTCTCTAACTTCCTCCTAAACACAAAGAAAACTGATATAATGAAAAACTCAAAGCAAAACACCATTCAATGGATTCACTGGGGCCAGGTGAAGCCAGGGATCCTCAACTGCCCCTCCACATCCAGATCCGTCAGGGATCATCCTGTTGCCCACCTGCCAAAATCTGTCACCCCCAGCAAACCCTGCCACCTGTCCTGTAACTCCTCCCAAACTGTCACCTCTGCCAAAACCCGTCACCTACCCTGTCACCTCTGCCAAACACTGTCACCTACCCTGCCACCCCATCAAACCCTGTCACCTCTGCCAAACACCGTCACCTACCCTGCCACCCCATCAAACCCTGTCACTGCTGTCAAACCCTGTCACCTACCCTGTCACCTCTGCCAAACCCTGTCCCCTACCCTGTCACCCCATCAAACCCCGTCACCTCTGCCAAACCCTGTCACCTACCTTGCCACCCCATCAAACCCTGTCACTGCTGTCAAACCCTGTCACCTACCCTGTCACCTCTGCCAAACCC